TCTGAGTATAATTGAATTATAATGTGAGTATAACAGAAATATGATCTAAGCATAACAGAATTATAATCTGAGTGTAACAGAATTATATTCTGAGTATAACAGAATTATAATCTGAGTGTAACAGAATTCTAATCTGAGTATAACAGATTTATAATCTGAGTATAACTGAATTATAATCTGAGTGTAACCGAATTATAAATTGAGTATAACAAAATTATATTCTGAGTATAACAGAATTATAATCTGAGCATATCTGAATATAACAAAATTATAAAATGAGTATAACAGAATTATAATCTGAGTGTAACAGAATTATAATCTGAGTATAACAGAATTATAATCTGAGTATACAGAATTATAATCTGAGTGTAACCGAATTATAAATTGAGTATAACAAAATTATATTCTGAGTATAACTGAATTATAATCTGAGTATAACAGAATTATAACTTGAGTATGAGTATAACTTAATTATAATCTGAGTGTAACAGAATTATAATCTGAGCATATCTGAGTGTAACAGAATTATAATCTGAGTATAGCAGAATTATAATCTGAGTATAACTGAATTATAATATTAGTGTAACAGAATTATAATCTGAGTATATTTGAATTATAATGTGAGTATAACAGAAATATGACCTAAGCATAACAGAATTATAATCTGAGTGTAACAGAATTATAACTTGAGTATGAGTGTAACATAATTATAATCTGAGTGTAACTGAATTGCAATCTGAGTATAACAGAGTTATAATCTGAGTATAACTGAATTATAATCTGAGTATAGCTGAATTATAATCTGAGTGTAACCGAATTATAAATTGAGTATAACAAAATTATATTCTGAGTATAACAGAATTATAATCTGAGTGTAACAGAATTATAATCTGAGTAAAACAAAATTATAATCTGAGTATAGCAGAATTATAATCTGAGTATAACTGAATTATATTCTAAGTATAACTGATTTATAATCTGAGTATAATTGAATTATAATCTGAGTATAATTAAGTATGACAGAATTATTATCTGAGTATAGCAAAATTATAATCTGAGTATAACAAAACTATAATCTGAGTATAATAGAACTATAATCTGAGTGTAACAGAATTATAACTTGAGTATGAGTATAACTTAATTATAATCTGAGTATAACAGAATTATAATCTGAGTATAACAGAAGTATAATCTGAGTATAACAGAATTATAATCTGAGTGTAACTGAATTATAATCTGAGTATAACAGAATTATAACTTGAGTATGAGTATAACTTAATTATAATCTGAGTGTAACAGAATTATAATCTGAGCATATCTGAGTGTAACAGAATTATAATCTGAGTATAGCAGAATTATAATCTGAGTATAACTGAATTATAATATTAGTGTAACAGAATTATAATCTGAGTATATTTGAATTATAATGTGAGTATAACAGAAATATGACCTAAGCATAACAGAATTATAATCTGAGTGTAACAGAATTATAACTTGAGTATGAGTGTAACATAATTATAATCTGAGTGTAACTGAATTGCAATCTGAGTATAACAGAATTATAATCTGAGTATAACTGAATTATAATCTGAGTATAGCTGAATTATAATCTGAGTGTAACCGAATTATAAATTGAGTATAACAAAATTATATTCTGAGTATAATAGAATTATAATCTGAGTGTAACAGAATTATAATCTGAGTAAAACAAAATTATAATCTGAGTATAGCAGAATTATAATCTGAGTATAACTGAATTATATTCTAAGTATAACTGATTTATAATCTGAGTATAATTGAATTATAATCTGAGTATAATTAAGTATGACAGAATTATTATCTGAGTATAGCAAAATTATAATCTGAGTATAACAAAACTATAATCTGAGTATAATAGAACTATAATCTGAGTGTAACAGAATTATAACTTGAGTATGAGTATAACTTAATTATAATCTGAGTATAACAGAATTATAATCTGAGTATAACAGAAGTATAATCTGAGTATAACAGAATTATAATCTGAGTGTAACTGAATTATATTCTGAGTATAACAGAATTATAATCCTAGCATAACAGAACTATAAACTGAGTATAACAGAATTATAATCTGAGTATAACAGAATTATAATATTAGTGTAACAGAATTATAATCTGAGTATAATTGAATTATAGTGTGAGTATAACAGAAATATGATCTAAGCATAACAGAATTATAATCTGAGTGTAACAGAATTATAACTTGAGTATGAGTGTAACTTAATTATAATCTGAGTGTAACAGAATTATAATCTGAGTGTAACAGAATTATAATCTGAGTATAACAAAATTATAATCTGAGTATAACAGAATTATAATCTGAGTGTAGCAGAATTATAACTTGAGTATGAGTATAACTTAATTATAATCTGAGTGTAACAGAATTATAATCTGAGCTTATCTGAGTGTAGCAAAATTATAATCTGAGTATAACAGAATTATAGTCTGAGTATGAGTATAACTGAATTATAATCTTTGTATACCTGAATTATAATCCGAGTATGACTGAATTATAATCTGAGTATAATTGCATTATAATCTGAGTATAACAGAATTATATCTGAGTAATACAGAATTATAATCTGAGTATAACAGAATTATAATCTGAGTATAATTGCATTATGATCTGAGTATAACAGAATCATAATCTGAGTATAACAAAATTATAATCTGGGTATACCAGAATTATAATCTGAGTGTAACAGAATAATCTAAGTATAACAGAGTTATAATTGGTGGTGTAATGTATGAAATTGATGGTTTCAAGTTGCCATTCATTGTGCTTAACTTGCAGGATTAGAGAGTAAATACTATCTACCACAATATATCTTTTGCCTTTTTTTTGCCTAGTAAATTTCTAAAACATTTATGACTAAAGGTTAGTTGCAATAAAAAACAACTAAGTCGCGATTATTAAGTATTTAAAACATAAAAAAACGCTAGTGTTTTTAAATAGATATTAACTAGGGCTTCTTTTGTCTTTTTCTTACTTGGTAGATTTCTTAAATATTTGTAGCTGAAGCAATTCAAGAGCACGCAACGTAATGTCAAGCCTTTAGTTCAAATTATGCAAGAAATCTATTGTATAATTAAGTACTTTTTTAAATTGTAAAGGTAGGCCATCTTTATATGGCTTGTATCTAATTCGTTTACTTTAGGAGTGTTAATAGAAGTTATCACCGGATTCTCAAGTTTTGTTACCTGCTCTAATCCTTTACTTATGCTTTAATCTTGACTTCAAATTTTATTGAAGTGCTTGCTCCGCTGATAGCCATTTATTACATCAAGAGAAGATCAAAACAATGCCAGTCCATACTGCACCAACGGCAATTGCTATTCCTGCAATAGCTGCAGCTGTTTTAAAAGCCCCACAGTCAGGGTTAGAGGCGCGACTAAAGCTGCCAGCAGAACTAAATCTGCTAACAAATTCCGTCTTGTCAGTACCACTTATTCCGTCTGCAAATACTGGACATGAGAGTAAAAAATCTATATTTAGTAAAAATACTGCAATTAATAGCAATGACAGCTTAGTCTTAAACATTTTTTACCTTCTGATAAAATATAGGCAACCATACTTTTGGGTCATCCCCGACTTCTTTTAATAACACTCCTCCCATTATTACTTTTGCAAGCATACCAATAGGTATTACATTGTACTGTGCAACCCACTCTGCAAATGCAATTAATTTTAGTCTAATATTTGGTAGATTGATCTTTTGCTCAATGAATTTTAATTCTTGATCGTTCTTGTTACTATACTTCCAAACTATTCCGATCAAGCGTTTTTTGCCAAATGGCACCACCACATAATCTCCAACTGAAACGTCAGTGTTTTCCTTAACTGCATATGAAAACAATTGGTCAATTGGGTTCTATTTAAGATGTTCTATTTAACAAGATGGGGCTTAATAAGAAAAAAAAGTTGAAATCTGGATCGTATAGCACAAACTCCGTAGTACTAGAGGAACTTGAAATAGAAGGAGTTGAAATTGCAAGCAAAATTTTAGATTGGCGACATTTAAGTAAATTAAAAAGTACCTACACTGATGCACTAATAAAGCAAGTTGACCCACTTGATGGCAGAATACACACAAATTTCTCAACAACTGTAACTGCAACTGGAAGGCTCAGCTCAAGCAGTCCTAATTTGCAGAATATTCCTATCAGGAGCAAAGAAGGAAATCTTATTAGACAGACATTTATTGCGCCAAAGGGATACAAGATAATTTCTGCTGATTACTCACAAATAGAACTGAGGCTCCTAGCACACGTTGCAAATGTTACAGCGTTTAAAGAAGCTTTTGCAAATGGAAAGGATATTCATGGCATTACTGTTAAATAGAACCCTAGTCAAATTGGTGCTTTTATACTACAAAATCTAAAAGAGGCAGCAGAGGCTTATCTTGGGGAAGAAGTAAAAGATGCTGTAATAACAGTGCCAGCATACTTCAACGATTCTCAACGTCAGGCAACAAAAGATGCAGGAAAAATTGCCGGGTTGAATGTACTTAGAATAGTTAATGAACCAACTGCTGCGGCGCTTGCTTATGGTCTTGATAAGAAGCATGGGCATACAATAGTGGTATATGACCTTGGTGGTGGTACATTTGATGTTTCAATACTCGAAATAGGTGATGGAGTTTTTGAAGTAAAAGCTACGAATGGTGATACCCATCTTGGAGGTGAAGACTTTGATAATGCAATAGTAAGTTACTTACTAGATGAATTTAAGAAAAGTAATGGCATTGGTCTAAAAAATGATCCAATGGCTATGCAAAGAATCAAAGAAGCTGCTGAAAAAGCGAAGATTGAATTATCAAGTGCAATGGAAACAGAAATAAATCTGCCATTTATTACGGCTGATGCAAATGGTCCAAAACACTTAAATATGAAATTAACAAGGGCAAAACTTGAGCATGGTAGATGGCGTGCTGCTGCTGGTTGACGCTGCAGAAGGTCCCATGCCACAAACTAAGTTTGTATTGTCAAAAGCACTAAAAGCAGATTTGAAGCCAATTGTGATAATCAATAAGGTTGATCGGCCAGATAGCAGGATTGATGAAGTGCTGAACGAGATATATGAGCTATTTTTTAATCTTGATGCAACTAACGAGCAGCTAGATTTTCCAGTATTGTATGCCTCTGGTAGAAACGGCTGGTGTATTAAAGAGCTTTCTGATAAAAGAAAAGATTTAAGTCCGTTATTTTCAACAGTTACCTTGATAACAAAACAAAATTGGTTAGTTAAGTTCATCAAGTTAAGCGGCTTTGCATTTGAAACAGCCGATGACGAAGATCTGGTAATACAAAACAATATCAGGAATCAGATGCTGAGAAGCATTTCATCTCCAGCGTTTGGTCTATATTTTCATACTATCAGACGTAAAAAAAATATTTTTTCTGATGAGTTTGCAAGTCAAAATTTTCCAAACTTTTTTGCTAATTACGTAAATTTAAAATGGAGAGAGAAACACGCAACAAGGCAGTCATTTATTAATGATCTATATATTACAATTATTCGTAGAGCAGATACAAAAGGAGTAGAATTTTTATCGCATCTACTAAAGAAATTTGGACATGTAACTTCAAAACATGCTTGGGAAAGCGATATGCGTGCTACCTATGAAGATTTAGAAGAAACAACGAACCGTGTAATGACAAACCTTAGACGTTCTGAAAAACGTAATGAAACCTATTTGGAATAGTTATCACTTTTTTACCATGTACGCAAACGCAGACGGAATTAGAGCTGAAGTTTGTAAGGACTATAAAAGTACTATTGATTCCTACATGATTTTCAAATGCTTTGAGGCTGTGGAAAGTATCCAAGCTTCTATGAGCAACTATAATTCCCAAGAAGCTTGTAAAATTCTGATAGATTTTTTTGAAGTACTAAATAATTGGTATATTCGTCGCAGTCGTGAGCGTTTTTGGAAAAGTAACTTGGACCAAGATAAAACTGATGCTTACAATGTTCTATATACGGTTTTTTATTACATATTAAGAGCCGCGGTTCCTTTGTTGCCACTTATAACAGAGACTATATGGCAGGGGCTTAAGTATAAAAAATATCTGTTCATTTGGCTGATTTTCCACAGTTAGAGAGGTATGATAGTGAACTCATTGCCAAGATGGATTTGGTAAGAGAAATATGCAACTCTGCATTATCTATTAGAAACACTTTCAATATACGTGTCAGACAGCCACTTGGTAGTATGACCGTTTATCATCAGTCCTCCTGCAGTTTTCTTGAAAGTGAGCCACTTTCTGTTGTTATTCCAAAATTCTCTCCTGTCATCCCAATGCGTGACACTGGGACCCAGAAAGAGAAGAAATGGTCAAACGCCGAGATGAAAACGAGCATGAATGAATACCAAGAGATGATAAAAGATGAAGTAAACGTGAAAGAGCTAAAGTTAGTAAATAGCCTTGAAGGTATTGCATCATTGGAGTTGAAACTAAACTTCCCTATGCTTGGGAAAAGAATTCCAGACAAGGTCAAGAAACTAGTTCAATATGTCAAGGAGGGGAAATGGAAGCAAGTTGATAATGAGCAAGTATTTTTAGGCAATGAGTCAGAAAGCTACATTATAGAGAAAGACGAATATGAGCTATTATTAAAGACGAACAGTGAATACTCTTCTGTGTTTGGTGACAACAAAGGGATTTGTATAGATACAAAAGGAATTGAAGGATGAGTTATGTCAATGCTCTCTAGAAATTCCAAGATCTTTTCATCAGCAGGTCTCATAAGAGATGAGTGAAAAGGCCCACTAACTTGCAATTTAATTAATTTTCTCACACTTGAGTTTTTGAACAAACCAGGTAATATTTCAAGGGCCTCTGCAGTACCACTTACCACTACCTGTCCACCACCATTATCGTTTGCAATTCCATAAATTTCATCAATTTGAGCTGATTCCAATATATCTTCTACTTCACTTATCTCCGCTCCAAGCAACGCAACCATTCCACCTTTACATTTTAAAGAAGCTTTATGCATTGCTTCGCTGCGAGCTTTCAGCAACTTGACTGTGGACTCGAGTGTCAACGCTCCTGCAGCACATAGTGCTGTATATTCACCAACTGAATGCCCACAAACATATTTAACATCGTGATCAGAGAAGAGAGACTTACCAAACACATGCTCCATAACACGTAGTGTTGCAATTGATACTGCCGTTATAGCTGGCTGAGCGTTTTCTGTAATGGTTAACTCCTCGACAGGACCATTGAAAATCAAATGAGAAACTTCCTACCTAGTATGCTATCTACTTCATCAAATACTTGTTTTGCAACGGAAAATTGACTATATAGGTCTCTTCCCATTCCTACAAACTGTGAACCCTGACCAGGGAAAGCAAAAATCATAACGATAATTCTTGATTCTTTATTAAAAGTACTACTTTATTTATCTTTTGTCAATGTCCAATAATAATAATTGACTTAACGAATTGAATACACTAGAATGGTAACTGACTAAGAGTTTATAAGCGGCAATGGCAGAAATTGATTACCATAAAATTACTATAGTCATGACAAATGGTCAAGAGTTTGAAACTCGTTCAACCTATGGAAAGGAGGGAGATAAGATAAAGCTTGATAGAGATCCTCTCACTCACCCTGCATGGACTGGAAGTTTGACAAGTGGGTCAACAAATAAAACTAGCAAAATAGCTAAGTTTAACGATAAGTACGGAAATATTTTCTAATTTTCTTTCTTTTTAAGCTTTAGCACTGGAATCCTGGCAAGCTGAAATTGCAATGTTTGTACAGTTGTGTGCTTAGCACCGGTTCCTTTTTTTTGGTCGCATACTGGAATGACAAAGAGGAGTGAGTTTCTTGTAAAGAATAGTTATGCAAGAAGAAATCTACTAAAGTTTTTATATCAGATATTGATAATGCTTTAGGCAAAGTTCTTCTTTGAATTGGCCTTGACAGGGAAAATACAGCCTCATTGTTTACTTCATAATTGTTTTTTATATACTTGAAGAAGTTTCTGATTACTGATAATGCACGAGTGTTAGATCTAATATATAGAGCTCTATTGTGTTTACTTGCAAGTATACAAATATAATAACTTTTCATATATAGTAAATAAATTTAATATTTTCTACCATCCCATGGTTTTCCAGTATGAGAAGCCAATGTCACACACTGAGGTATCGGCAGCCCCTATTTCATATATCGTGAGAACTGCGGTATCTCTCAGCTGCTAACAAGCAGCAAAATGACGGTAGCTATAAATATTAAGTAGTCATCTAGATTACCTAGTCACTATCTATTTTCTGTATTGACGTTTTTTGAGTCTTAAACACTTTATAAGTGAGTTTCAACTTATATATATAGGTAAAAACCTAGGGATGTTGTGTGAAGACATAAGATGCATATAGTGCAAAAAATTAAACATAAAGTGCCAACTACGTGATATTTCGTCATTCAATCTGCACAGATTGAAGATAACTGAGTACCTTCTAGTGCTATGGGGCTGACGAGGCTATCAAGTAGTTTTTATGCCAGTCAACTACTTGCGCATATCCAAGATATTCTTTTCGTAAATACCAACAATCCACTATTTTTCTTATGTCTCGTGGCTTGGTTTGCGGACCTATACTAACTCTAATTGAACACTCTGCTTGTTCTCTTGTTGCCCCCATTGCAAGCAAAACATGGGAAGGCTCAACTTTTCCAGAAGAACAGGCAGAGCCATTGCTAACAGCAATGTTATTTAAGTCAAAATTCATGAGCTGCACATCACTTTTCACTCCTGGCATGTAAATAAGGCTCGTATTTGGCAGTCTTTTAGAGTTTTTGCCAAAGATTTTGATGCCACTGGCAAGATTCAATAACTCATACTCCAATTGATCACGTAGCTCCTTTATTTCATCCATTTTTGATAGGAGATTTGAGATACTTTGCAATGCAGCAGAAAGACCTGCAATTGCAACAATATTTTCTGTGCCACCACGCAATCCTTTTTCTTGTCCACCACCTACTATGATAGGTTCTATTACTAGGTCTTTATTAAATATTAAAACTCCGCTGCCCGCTATACCGCCAAATTTGTGGGCAGATAAAGTTAGTAAATCCATTCCTAAATCTTCCATATTAACCTTAATTTTTCCAACACTTTGAGCAGCATCAGTATGATAGATTGTCTCGAATTTATGTGCTATTTCAGCTATTTCTTTAACAGGCTGAACAACTCCAGTCTCGTTGTTGGCCATCATAACCGAAACTATTACTCTATTCCCTTTAAGTTCACTTAAAATTCTTTCTAGCGCCAAAAGATCGACAATACCCCCCTGATTGACGGGTATTATATGTGGATTGCACGCAGAATTAAGAATTGAGGGATGTTCTACAGCTGAAATCACATGTTGAAAGCCTGCTATCCCTTTCATAACAAGACTATTTGCTTCAGTTGCACCAGACGTAAAAACTATTTCTTTATTACTTGGAACGCCAATAGCACTACGAATGTTATCCCTTGCATCCTGAAGAATCCTTCTTGCTTCTTGTCCCTTTCTATGTAACGATGAAGGATTCATATTTTATTCTTTCTTGGATTACTAGCGAATTTTTTGGTCGAAAATATGGATGGTGTAATTTATTTTTTTTGCTATCATTCAATTAAAATTTATTAATGAAATCAAATTATCATTTTTGTTGATGATATTTGTTAGTTAAATAAATTAAAATTGAATGAATGTATTCCATAATAGATTAGATAGAGCCATCATATTTCATTGAATGGTCAAAGTAATGGACGGTAAAGGTATGTTAGGTATGTTGAAGACACCACTATTATGGATTATGATTCATGCAGTGGTTATGTGTGCAATATCGTTGTCTTTTCTCGATCCATGTCGCGAATTATAATTTCGCGAAAAACTTCTAACTGTCGTGAAAGACAAAATATTTAAATTATTATATCCAAAACTAACAAATTCCTCTTATCTAATTCCTAAATCTATTTTACATTTACAAAATTCATCTCACACCTGATGATTCAATTTCCGAATATTTTTGCATTTGTAATTCAGCTATGACTCATATTAATCTATTTCTTCCTTTCATACAATAAAACTAATCTTGTTAAATAGCGATAAGATGTGATAAAAATAATTAACACCTGCAAAACTGTTTAGGGAAATCATTACATTGTTAACAATCTTGTTTTTCATCCATAGAAATTCTTCCATCTAATTTCCATTCATTAAATCAGTCTTATATATAAACTAACCAATCCTTCTATAACCATCATTCGCTCTATGTTTTGGGTGATATTAGCATGCGTCTAATACTTTATAATTTCGTATTATTTCACCATTTTTATATTATTGCATTTTATATAGTTTACGTGTTTGTTAATCGGTGTAGCATCCGTACGATATGTATAAAGCGCTATTATTTGCCTCATGTTAAATAAAGGTTTAATTACCCAAGTTTGAGGTTTATTAATCTTCCTACTATATTGCAACAATTCGAATATCCACCAACAGACAACCTTTCACGACAATCCAGCCTTAGCAGATCACTAAACATCTGTGTGTCTTTTTGGCCATTTCTTCAGCATTGTTGAAAGACAAATACAGATTCATTACTTTCCTTTGTAATATCTCAGTTCTTCTAATTGTCTGTCATATTTTTTTCAAGCAGATAATTTTTCCGTTTTTACTGATCTCTCATAAAATTTAAAATGACCTCAAAAAAGAATTCATCATAGATCAGTCTAATACATGTATGTCTTTCAGTAGAACCGTATAAACTTGCAAAACTGATGCTTCACTTTCTTTTCAAATAGTCAAAGGATAGCCAAACTTATTTTACAGTCAAACTTAGCCATCCATTATTGGCTTAATGTTCTTACTATCTGATGAAATTTATACGATAACAGCACCTTTCTGGAGCATAATTATCGATAAATTTAACTGCAGCAAGACAATTATAATGTTCGGTATTATAGCAGTAGTGATTAGTATGATAATCATTAGTCCATCACCTTTTCTGAATACCGAGAAGTAAGTGTAGACTATAAATAATGTATTTTCTTGAAGTTCGAAAAATGGGCAGAGCAAATAGTCAATTAGACCACAGTTCTATTAGATCTCTGATTTTAAGACTAATATAATGCATGAAATAACGATTTATTCAAATTATTGCTGCTATATTCATTTAGTAATTATTTTATTTACAAATAATAAATATCTTTCTACGTCATTTTGTCATTATTACAAGCTAACTCGGATATCTTTTATTTGATAATTCTGAGAACTGAGGAAAATGCTGTATATCATAAAATCTTTTTTTTTCTTTCGAAAGATTTCGCTTATTTCATATTAGCACAATTTCATGTCTTGCAGGAACTTAGGATGGATAGAAGTTGCATTAGGTATATTTGGTCTTGCTACTAGTGCTTTGTATATTCTGACTTTTCAAATATCGATTGATACATTATGGTAAATTATCATTTCAATCAAAGATTTGAATGGACTTTATCAATCTTAGTTTTATCGTCAAATTAACATATTAGTAAATAGGAGCAAAGTTTCTTAAATTTATTCTGATTGTCGAATTTTTCTGGATCAATTGTAGCTCTAGTGTATTTAGATACACGCATATTTCAGCTTTGAGAAAACTTTCGATTTCTAATTTAAATTTCGAAAATGTTTTCAGTGTAAAAACTTCATTACAG